GGGGGGGGGGGGGGGGGGGGGGGGGGGGGGGGGGGGGGGGGGGGGGGGGGGGGGGGGGGGGGGGGGGGGGGGGGGGGGGGGGGGGGGGGATCAGGTGGTGAGAGTGCTGAAGGGGCAGGGAAGGAGGAAGGGGGGGGGAAGGGGCAGCACCCCATGGGACAAGAATGTCTGCCAGACGTTGGGGCGGAAATGATCGGGGCAAGCGAGGGGAGTACTCCCCAACACCCGACTCCCCTCCCCCCCAAGGCCGTCGGTTTCCCGAGTGCCCTCCCCGAGGGCCCCGTTACGAGAAGCGGTTAATGGAAGGGGCCCAAAATTTGGCAAATTTTGGCGAAATTTTCACCAAAACTGCCATATGTCCCTGAATTTTTACTTTTTTCTCGGTTTTTCTTCGTGCCTGTTATATATGTGCTTTAGGGTATATCTGTATTCAGTTTCGCCGTATTTGGAGCAGTAACAAAAAAATTAGCAAAAACACCAGACTCAAAAAAGGCTTTGGCGAACTCCGAAAGCTACTCTGAAAGCTACTCCGAAAAGGGTTTTATAGTACTCTTGATTTTGATTTTTTCGTTTTTTTTTTTGCCTGATTGTTTTTTTGATGTTTGTATTATGACCCTGCATAGTTTGTTCGCAAAAGTTTCGACAACATTGCTTGTCGCGACGCGACAAAAAAACCCAAATTTTTAGCCTTCCATTAACCGCTAGTGCCGTAAGGGGAGCTGAAGTTCGTACGTATGGCCTGTACATGGCCCAGGGGGGGGGGCGTACGTATATGTGCGTACGGACTTTGGTATGGCCCGTCCCCGTACAACGGGCCGACGCTGGCCGTGGCTGTCCGAGCTAAACGAGCCACTCTGCACAAGCTTAACTCTGGCCGCAGTCCATCAAAAAATTCAACCACAACCCAACAAACACATCCCCCCCTAACTACTCCACAACTTCTACGAAATCCAGTTATTATAAGCAAACCGCAATCTCCTAATTTGTAGATCGAAATACAATCCCCTAATAAGTAGTAATAACCTTTCCCACGTCTGACTTCGTCCCGCCATGGTCATCAGGGGATTACCAACTCACGTCAGCCAGGATCAGGTTATGGCGGGAGCAAGGTATTGCCCCCATGAAGCGGGTCCCCCCATGGCGCGCATGCGCCCTAAACTCTCCTCCACTCACGCCACCAGATCTGGCACAGCGCACTCACCCTTGTGACTACACTAACACTTTGCCCACACGCTGTGGCGGTGCACTAGCGCAGTTGTAATGCTGCGCTAGCGCGGAGCACGCAGTGGAGCAATTTTTCTCCGCCGATGGTATTCCCCCAAATCAGTGAGGAGTTCTGATGCGACCCTCAGCTGAAAGTCGTTTGCATTGCAATTCTACACAACATTTTTTTTCTCCGGAAAAATTCTTTTCCCCACACAAATCTGACTGCAACTGCTGCAAAAAGTCCGCAAGAATCTGACGGCAAGAGTCCTGGATCTTTGGGCCTTCAACTTTGTGTGCATCTACATTGGAGAGTGCATGACCATTCAGCTCTTGGGACTGGGGGATCTATGGCGCATCAGCGCGGGGAGTCCTTAGGGTCATCATTAGCATGGTGTTGGGAAGATTTTCTTCTACGAGTGATGGGTGAAGTAGGGAGGGGTTGCTGCGGTTGGAGGTTGCACACAGAGGGGGTTAGCGGACTCCCTTTGGGGGGACGTAGGGCCTTCCATGTGGGTAGTGCTACATCCTAGGGCCGGTTTCGGGGAAGTTCTAACGAGAGTGTTGGTAGTACTGCTGGTGCTGAGGCCTGCCAGCGTAAAAGAAAGCCTCCGCATCTATCAATCCATCTGTACAGGGTTAGATTAGTTCATCTGTATAGGGTTAGATTAGTCCAGTCCATCTGTTAAGGGTTAGATTAGTAACCCATCTGTATAGGTTAGATTAGTCCATCTGTAAAGGGTTAGATTAGTCCATCTGTATAGGGTTAGACTAGTCCAGCTGTATAGGGTTAGATTAGTCCAGTCCATCTGTATAGGGTTAGATTAGTAACTCATCTGTATAGGTTAGATTAGTCCATCTGTATAGGGTTAGATTAGTCCAGCTGTATAGGGTTAGATTAGTCCAGCTGTATATGGTTAGATTAGCCCATCTGTATAGGGTTAGAACGCGTGTCCAGTTTACCCTGCGTACTTAGGGACAAATTAGCCTTGGCAGGTGTAGGTGCATTGCATGCACAAGGCCATCATTGGGCGTGAGGCCCAGGTATTGTTGAGTACTTAGGCGGTCGGGAGCAGAGGCACCCAGTAGGGTGTGTAGAAGAGAAAGATCTGTAAGGGGGTGGAATGAGCTGTAGTAACCCATGGCAAGATATGAAAATTGATAACAGATAATTGGAGTGAAAAGACCCCAACTGGGGCATATACACAGTCATGATAGATGTGCCTGTAGCGGCTGTGGTATCTCTGTACCCTCTAGGAAGACCTGGAGATCAGTGTAGTACTAGTGGGTAGTGGGTACAAACGTGGAACAGCAGATGTAATGGAGTAGTGCTAGGTAGGGGGCCCCTATATAAGGGGGGCAACTTCAGGGTTTAATAAGCCAAGCCCCAAGGGATACCCGGAAGTACGGAGACCCAGAGGG